ATATATATATATATATATAATATTTTAAGATAATGAAGATTTTTATAAATATAAACACGAGGAGTTAAATTATATTTAAATAAATTTTTGAGTAACCTTTCTTTAATTTTATAACATTTTTATATGTATTTCCATCGTTATTACATGTAAATGAAAATTTTCTTTCAACAGAATCAAAGATGTTATCACAAATGTATTAATTAATATTATATTAGATCACGATAAACATTGCCGCTGCCAGCGGTACTTGTGAAGCAATATGTCCTATATGTAAACCAGCCAAACGCAGTACTTATCTCTGTTCTAGCTTCATATCTCTAGGCTGCTTTTCTGCTGTGTTCAATTAAGCACACAACACAAGAGGAAGCAACAACGTAAAGGCGACACTAATTGCCGACGCACCGAAACACATTTAAACAGAACATATATTCTCATAAATCATTTCTCACCGCTTAAATATAAAGATATATTCGTCATTAATTAAAAATAGATATTAAAGAAAATAAAACGACAGCATATATATATTCTGTAAGCTATAGTACTATGCATCAGTATGAAAAGTGAGATGATCAAAGGAAGAATGGCTGAACAGTGTCTACCATCATTTATGAAGCAAATGCCTTGTGACCTAAATGCTACCCTTTTCACGTTACTTTCCATCGTGATCAGCATGTTGCTGGTGTTTAAGATCACAAGAAGAAGCAAACGAAATCTACCTCCATCCCCACCAAAACTACCTATAATTGGCAATTACCATCAGTTAGGAACACTCCCCCATCGCTCTTTTCAAACCCTCTCACAAAAATACGGTCCTCTATTGTTGTTGCAACTAGGTCAACTTCCCGTTTTGGTGGTTTCCTCAGCAGATTTGGCCAAAGAAGTTCTGCAAAACCATGACCTAGATTTTGCAAGCAGGCCACACCTCACAGCCCCGAAGATCTTACTCTACGGATGCAAGGACGTTGGTTATTCATCCTACGGTGACTTGTGGAGACAGAAAAGGAAACTGTGCGTGATTGAATTGCTGAGCCTGAAAAGGGTGCAATTAGTTCAGTTCATTAGAGAGGAGGAAGTGAAGGCACTGGTTAGTAACATACGTAAAGTGTGTTCCAGTAATGGTTGCGCTGTGAACCTCAGCGAGTTTCTCGTTGCAACCGCAAACAACGTAGTCTGTAGGTGTTTATTCGGAAGGAAATACGATGCTGATGATGGTAAATGTAGATTTGGGGAGCTTGCGAGGGAGGTGATGACTCAAGTTTCAGATTTCAGTTTGGGAGATTTGTTTCCTTTGTTGCGTTGGGTTGGTGTTATGAGTGGCCAAACTAAAAAATATAAGGCTACTTTTGGAGCATTGGATGCTTTCTTCGATCATCTAATTGCAGAGCGTAAGATGGCAAGGAGTGATTCCGAGAAGAAAGACTTCTTAGACGCTCTCCTTGAACTTCAAGACAGTGACAAGCTTGAGTTCGAGCTCACAACTGATGACCTAAAGGCACTCATCATGGTATGCGTATATATGGAAGTAACTCCATCGTAAATAATTATAATATATTATATCAATTATCTTTAAGTACATAAGATAATTATACCAATCATTTATTATATATAGACTTCTTTAACTCTATTTTTACTTTAGGTTGTCTAACTTATTCCAAGGAATGAAAAATGAAGTTAAACAACTTATTGTTAATGATTAATGTTTAATAAAATGGTGTCAACTCTATTTTGAATCTAAATTTGCAGCAAGCTGTATCCATTGATATGGACTATTTTACGTTTTCATTATTTCAGGACATGTTTTTGGGAGGAAGTGACACAACTTCAACAACACTAGAATGGGCTATGACTGAGCTTGTAAAAAATCCAAGCATCATGAACAAAGTGCAGGAAGAGGTAAGAAGAGTTGTGAGAAATAAATCGAAATTAGAAGCCAATGATATCGATCAGATGGACTATTTAAAATGTGTAGTGAAAGAAACTCTGAGGTTACACCCACCTGCTCCACTTTTGGTTCCTCGAGAAACAAGATCAAATGTTAAACTTGGAGGATATGATATTCCCAATAAAACAATGGTATTTGTGAACGCATGGGCAATTCAGAGGGACCATGAATTTTGGGAAAAGCCTGAGGAATTTATACCGGAGAGATTTGAAAGCAGCGAGGTCAATTTCAATGGTCAAGACTTCCAATTTATTCCATTCGGTTCTGGGAGAAGAAAATGTCCTGGTATGGCGTTTGGTCTTGCTTCAGTCGAAGATATACTTGCTAATATTTTATATTGGTTCGATTGGAAGGTACCTGGAAGTGGTGGATCTGATAAAGAGCTAGACATGAGTGAGAAATTTGGGCTCACTGTCAACAAGAGAGTACCTCTGTATCTTGAACCAATACCATACCCAAACTAAACATTGCCCAACTTTATTTAATTTTGTGTGTATTTGTTGTTGTAATGCATATGTTGTGGACAAAAGGGTGATGTAGTTGGTAGTAGCAAATAAATAAGTGAAATAGGCGTGTCGGCTTCGATGTTCACAAATGATGGGTCAATAAGTGTTTGGCAAGTAGAATTAATGAAGATTATATAATGCCTTGTCATTATTTTCACTTTTAAATTTCACAGGTATGTGTCCTTATATATACTATCAATTAACTGAAATATATATATATGATTATTATCATTAATATTTTTGTTGTTATTATCATTATTTTCGGTGTTATTATCATTGTTGACATTGGACAAACACACTTTTTAATTAATTTTAATTATATAAAAAAATATTTTTTATGAAAGATAGAAAACTTTTTAAGTGGCCTTATTTTGAAATTAAAAATTAGAAAAAATGCAAAAGCTAAAAAATATTGTAATTTTTAAAATTTACAAGTAAAAGTCAACCAAATATGGTCCTGAAGTAATTATTCTTTATACGAGTTTTGAAAATTATTCTTAAAATTCTATTATTTGAAAATAAGAAATTTGAATATATATATATATATA